TTCCCCACTGACGCCCCAGGGTGGCAGTTTTACCACCCCTCCTCTCGTCGTGTTCTGTCCTCCCAGGACGTCACGTTCGACGAGTCAGTCCCCTTCTACCGTCTCTTCCCCTACCGCACTCCTTCCCTCCCCCCTCCCCCGGACTTCCTTGTGCCGGTTCCCCCCCCGGTAGACCCCCTCCCCCCTCAGGTTCCTGCCCCCTCAGGTGTGTCCCAGGTAGATGCGTTGACCCGGTCGAGGTTACTGGTGACTCTGGTGCTGCTGCGGGTGCTGAGCCTGGGGGTGCTGACTCTGGGGGTGCTGTGCGCGGGAGTGCTGAGCCTGGGGGTGCTACTGCTGGGGGTGCTGGGCCTGAGGGTGGTACTGCGGAGGGTGCGGAGCCTGGGGGTGCTGAGCCGGGGGGTGCTGTGCCTGGAGGTGCTGGGTCTGGGGGTGCTGGGTCGGGAGCTGCTGAGCCTGGGGGTGCTGCGTCTGGAGCTGCTGAGCCTGGGGTTTCTCCTGCTGCTGCGTCTCGCCGGGAGCCCCTCTCTCCACAAGAGCTGCGCGAGTGGTTCCCTCGCTGCTGGAGGCGTGCTGCTGCGTCTGGAGGTGCTGCTGGAGCTGGAGCTGGAGCTTCTTCGACCGTCGAGGGTGCGGGTGCTGCCGGTCCCGGAGCTGCTGGACCTGCGGGTCCTCCTGGAGCTGGAGCTGCTGAGGGCGTTGGTGCTGAGCCTACTGCTGTTAGTCCTGCCGCTAGAGGTGTGGGTGGCGCTGGTACTGTCGCTGAGGGTGGTGGTGCTGTCCCTGCTGAGTCTGGAGCTGCCGCGCGGCCTCGGCCGTACTTCGTTCCACTCCTGCAGCAGGTTCTTGGTCTTTCTCCTCTAGTAGAGGGTCCACCGCCTGTCCAGTCGCAGTCCCTACTGGAGCTTTCCTCTCCACTGCCTGCTCCCTCTCCTTACACTGGTCCTACTGGAGGTCTTGCTGAGCGTCGTGAGCCTGCGTCTCGTCCCGCGTCGCCTGTTCGTGCTGCTCGCACTAGTGGTCGCAGTTCGCGTCAGCGTCCTCCTCCTGTCCCTGGCACGCACCGGATGTCTTTGCGTCCGTCCACTGCTCCTCTGCGTGCCCTTTTGCCTTCTCCTCCTGAGTCCTCTCTTCCTGTGCTTGCCGACCCTGAGTCCGACTCTCTTCGTGCTGCCAGTCCTACTGTCACGCGTCTCCTTGCCACTGTCGTCACTGACCCCTCGTTTGAGTCCACTGCTGCGTCTGCCCTTGTCGCTGAGCTCGTCGACTTTGCTGCTCGCTGTCGTCTCGACTACGCTGCTAGTCTTGTTGCTGAGTCTGCGTCTGTCTGTCCTCCGTCCGTCGGGGGTGAGTGTGCTCTTGGCACGGACGTCCTAGAGGACAGGCAGGAGGAGTTACAGTGTCTAGCGGCTGCTTCACCTCATCTCGCGTCTATACTGCTTGCCCCTGAGGGAGACCCGGATGCACTAGACATCCCGACTCCGCGTTCTTACGCGGAGGCCGTAGAGGGTCCCTACTCCTCTCAGTGGCAGGCAGCTATGGATGCAGAGATGGCTTCCTGGAAGTCCACAGGCACCTACGTTGACGCGGTCCCCCCTCCTGGGGCGAACATCGTCAGTGGCATGTGGATCTTCAGGGTGAAGCGGCCGCCGAGCTCTCCACCTGTCTTCAAGGCACGGTACGTTGCTCGTGGCTTCAGCCAGCGGCAGGGAGTTGACTACTTTCAGACCTTCTCTCCCACCCCGAAGATGACTACTCTTCGGGTCCTGCTGCACATAGCCGCTCAGCGCGACTACGAGCTTCACTCTCTCGACTTCAGCACTGCGTTCTTGCAGGGTAGCCTGCACGAGGAGATCTGGCTTCGCCGTCCACCTGGCTTCACTGGGACTTTCCCTCCTGGCACCCAGTGGAGCCTCCGACGGCCAGTCTACGGTCTCCGCCAGGCACCGCGTGAGTGGCACGACACACTGAGGACTACGCTTGCGGCCCTTGGGTTTGCTCCTTCTACTGCTGACCCGTCGCTGTTTCTTCGCACCGACACTTCCCTGCCGCCGTTCTACATCCTCGTGTACGTCGACGACTTGGTCTTTGCCACAGCGGACACTGCTGGACTCGCCTACGTGAAGTCCGAGCTGCTGAAGAGACACACGTGCACAGACCTGGGTGAACTGCGCAGCTACCTTGGCTTGCAGATCACTCGGGACAGAGCACGCCGCACCATTACCTTGACTCAGTCACACATGGTGCAGCAGGTCCTTCAGCGCTTCGGCTTCACGTACTCCTCGCCTCAGGCCACTCCTCTGCCTACTCGCCACTCACTCTCAGCTCTGCCTTCGGATGAGTCCGCAGAGTCGAGTGGTCCGTATGCACATGGCTGCAGCGAAGAGGGTATTGCGCTACCTGTGCAGTACGTCGGGCATGGGACTAGTGCTTGGAGGGCGGAGTCCAGTGGTCCTTACCGGCCACGCGGACGCTTCTTGGGCTGACGACCAGGCTACGCAGCGGTCGTCACAGGGTTACACCTTCAGCCTTGGTTCCGGCTCTGTCTCGTGGCGGTCTACTCGCTCGTCTTCGGTTCTCGGCTCCAGTTGTGAGGCTGAGATCTACGCCGGGGCCATGGCTGCACAGGAGCTTCGCTGGCTCACCTACCTGCTGACTGACCTTGGAGAGCCGCCTCGTTCTCCTCCAGTGCTGTACGTAGACAACAAGGCCATGTTGGCCTTGTGTCGAGAGCAGCGCTTGGAGCACAGAACGAAGCACATTGCTCTCCGCTACTTCCTTGCTCGTGAGCTGCAGCAGCGTGGTCAGTTGCGACTTGCGTACGTGGCCTCTGAGGCCAACACTGCTGATGTGTTCACCAAGGCACTCGTGCCTTGTGACCATCAGCGCTTTTGCACCCAGCTGGGTCTTGTGCCTGTCTTGCCTCACTTGCTCTCCTCTTGACTTCACTTGTACTGTGACATATATATATGCCTGCTCTTGCTTGTCTAGTTTTATATATATGTCTGTACTCCTGCATGTGAACTGGCCTCTTGCCCTACTCTTGTGCTCGGACTGTGTGGTGACTTTGTGATCCACCCTGAGCTTGCTTTGCTTTGCTTGACTGGTCTTGTGACCCCTTGTTCTCCCACACTTTGCCTATGGGGGTGTGTCAGATTTATATGACATAGTTGCTGTAGGCTATAGTGGGGTAGCGCATATGGGGTACAGGGTTTCTAGGGTTGTATTTGTACCCAATCTTTCCTTAGTCATTTCATTCCTGTTTTCCTTACTTCACAGTTGCGTACTGGCCTATCCTTGCACAGATTCATGCCATCAAACGCGCAAACAAGCGTCACGTGCTGCGTAGTTGTGCGAATGAACTCAAAACAGTTCCTATGGCTTGGGAGATGGATAAAATAGGGAAGTATGTGAATAAATAAGACTAAAAAAAAGATATAGTGGACGAAACGGTGACATGTTGCGTACTGGCCTATCCTTGCACAGATTCAGACCATCAAACGCACAATCAAGCGTCACGTGCTGCGTAGTTATGCGAATGAACTCAAACCAGTTCCTATGGCTAGGGAAATGGATAAAATAGGGAACTGTGTGAAGAAATAGGGCTACAAACAACATATAGATGACGAAACGGTGGCATGTTGCGTACTGGCCTATCCTTGCACAGATTCAGGCCATCAAACGCACAAACAAGCGTCACGTACTGCGTAGTTGTGCGAATGAACGCAAACCAGTTCCTATGGCTAGGGAAATGGATAAACTCGGGAACTATGTGAAGAAATAAGGCTAAAAAACACATATTGACGACGAAACGGTGACATGTTGCGTACTGGCCTATCCTTGCACAGATTCATGCCATCAAACGCGCAAACAAGCGTCACGTGCTGCGTAGTTGTGCGAATGAACTCAAACCAGTTCCTATGGCTAGGGAAATGGTTAAACTTGGGAACTATGTGAAGAAATAAGGCTAAAAAAAAGATATAGTGGACGAAACGGTGACATGTTGCGTACTGGCCTATCCTTGCTCAGATTCAGGCCATCAAACGCACAAACAAGCGTCACGTGCTGCGTATTTGTGCGAATGAACTCAAACCAGTTCCTATTCCTATGGAAATGGATAAAATACGGAACTGTGTGAAGAAATAGGGCTAAACAAACCATATACATGATCAAACGGTGACACGTTGCGTATTGGTCTATCCTTGCACAGATTCAGGCCATCAAACGCACAAACAAGCGTCACTTGCTGCGGAGTTGTGCGAACGAACTTAGACCAGTGGCTAGGGAAATGGATGAAATAGGGAACTGTGTGAATAAATAGGGCTAACAAAAGCATACAGACGTTGAAACGGTGACGTGTTGCGCACAGGCTTATCATTGCATCGATTCATGCCATCGAACGCACAAACGAGCGTCACGAGCTGTGTAGTTGGGCGAACGAGCTCATTCTAGTTCCTATGGATAGGGAATAGACTGAGTTGTGTGATTATTAAATGCTAAAAATACAAGTATATACAAGAATGATGATACATCGACTACGAGCAAGTATTTAATATTTCTTAAAAACATGTCAAAAAGTTTAAAAAATATGATAAAAATTTGCATATGAAGCATTGGCAAGATATTGGCAAGGTTTACACTAGTATTGGCAAGATATTTGTTTCACGAATATCTCAATATCCACCGAATTATAATACCAAGCGGGTTGACAAAAAAATGTAACAGTACCAATTCAAGTTTAATAGCACTGTTTGTTACAATTTCTTGAAATATGAAAAGCGCGATGAACAGTTTGCTACCACGAAACCATCTAGCTGGGCCTGCGGAGTTGACTTCAAGTGCCCAGAAACACGCGCACCACTTCGAAAAACACGCAACACCCTAACAACACTCCCACGAATCATGCGAGCAACATTCTCGCATGATTCCCAACCCTTGAAAGACGAGGAAGATGCAAACTAGATTCGCGCATGTCACAATCCCCTCCCCCCTGTTTTGCGATGCCGTTGCCCTCGCTTCCCATACCTGCCGCCCTCGCTTCCCCCGCCCGTCGCGTACCGCCTCTTCCCCGCCTACCACCCTCGCCTCGCGGGTCGCCATCGCCGCCTCCCCCTCCCGTCGACCTCGCTTTCCCCCTCCCGTCGACCTCGCTTTCCCCCTCCCGTCGACCTCGCTTTCCCCCTCCCGTCGGCCTCGCTTTCCCCCTCCCGTCGCCCTCGTTTTCCCTCCCCATCGCTCGCCGAGTCGACCTCTCCTCTCCCACCTGTCGCTGCGTCAACATTGTTCTCATTCCCGCCGCTGACGTCTTCGTCGAGCGTCCCCTCTTCTTCGCCCTCGCTTCCTTCCTCCGTCGCCCATGCCCATTCCCCTCCCTCGCGCCGACGCCCTGGTTTCCCGCCCCGCCGCCTTCTCTACCCTTCCCAGTGCCCTGGTTTACCACCTCTTTTTTTCCCCACCCAAAGCTTCACTCTCACCCACGTACACTCATGCGAAACAATTACTCCCCTTCCTCCTTTCACTCTGTTCCCCCCTGTTCACTCCCTCCCCCCCCCCTTGATCACTCTCTTCCCCCTTGCTCATTCTGTTCCCCCCTGCTCACCCTCTTCCCCCCAGTTCGTGGTGTTCCCCCCTGTTCACTCCCTTTCCCCATGCCCACCCTCATCCCCTTGCTCACTCCGCGCTCGCCTGCGGGCCTCATCACGACGTCCGCCCGCCCTCTCACACTCGCCACGCCTCCCCGCGCACCCTTCCCTCATAAGCCCCTGCTTTCCATTCCCACTCTCAACCCTCATCGCCTCTTTTCCCCTCGAACAACTTCATTTCCCTTTCCCTACCTTTGAACTTCCATAGTATTTTTTTCTCACGCCTTCCCTGCAATTTCCTCCCCTTCTAATCCAATCCTCCTCCGCCACTCCTCGCCTCTCTCACACTCCTCGCCTCTCTCACACTCGTCGCCTCTCTCACACTCCTCGCCTCTCTCACACTCCCCGCCTCTCTCACACTGCTCGCCTCTCTCACACTCCTCGCCTCTCTCACACCCTCGACGTGCGCAAGGCGCATGCCATCAGCGCACGCCAGGCAGCGGCCAGCATGGTGGCGCTGTTCGGCGAGTGCAGCACGGATAAGGCTGCTCTCACTAGGTTTCTCCCTGCTCACTCCCTTCCCGCTCCTCGCTCTGTTTCCCTCTTGCTCGCTCTGTTTCCTCTCTTCCCCCCTGTTCTTTCTATTTCCCCCTGCTCACTCTCTTCCCCTTGCTGCTCGTTCTGTTTTCCCCTGCTCGCTCTATTCCCCTTGCTCACTATGTTTCTCCCTGCTCACTATCTTCCCACCTGCTCACTCCCTTTCAACATGTTCTCTCTCTTTCCCCCTGCTCAATTATTTTACCTCTGCTCACTGTCTCCCCTGCACTCTGTTTTTCCCTGCTCATTCTGTTCTTTCCTGCTCACTCCCCTATTCAACCCTTTACCCATGCAGTGTGTCGGTGCCCAGCACCAGCTGTTGGGAGGGAACCACGAGTCCTGGTTTTTTGCTGCTGTATGTGCAGACAAGAGTTGGATAAGACATCACATGGACTAGCTTGTTCTTTTTTACTAGATTGATGCACATTGTAAGTGGTCTACAGTCTCATACCTCTGTGGATCAAAATTTAGTATATAATACTAAATATCCAACATTGGCATGTCTATTTGTCATGCCTAGAAGAAGTACTACCAACAACCAACATTCCTGAACCAAATGCATGGGGTGGGGGGGGAGGGGGGGACCTGTACAAACACAATTGTGAAAATCAGATGCTCGTGGCTGAAGCAGAACGCATACAAAAGGGTGGGCACTGACACTGACAAACCGGCACCTGCGAAGAGGAAGAAATAAAGAGACACTCACGGATTATTATTATGGTAGGAGACAAACGAGAGGCAGAGATGGGTTGGGTTGGAGATGGGTGGGGCAGAGATGGGTGGGGCGGAATGGGGTGATTTTGAAGGGTGGGGCGGAATGGGGTGACCTTGAGATGGGGTGGGGCGGAGTGGGCCAGGGCGGAGTGGGGTGAGGCGAAGATGGGGAAGAGCGTAGTGGGGTGGGGCGGAGATGGGGGAGAGCGGAGTGGGGTGGGGTGGAACCGCATCTCCCCTCCCCAAAAAGCTTCTTAGTGCCGAAAAGCACAACGGATGAGGGGTGAGGAGGAGATGGGGTGAGGAGGAGATGGGGGTGGGGCGGAATGGGGTGGGGCGGAATGGGGTGGGGCGGATTGGGGTGGGGCGGATTGAGGTGGGGCGGAATGGGGTGAGGCGGAATGGGGTGGGGCGGAATGGGGTGGGGCGGAATGGGGTGGGGCGGAATGGGGTGGGGCGGAATGGGTTGAAACGGAATGGTGAGGTGAGGGATGGAGAGGGAAGGGATGGGGAGAAGAGGGATGGGGAGAAGAGGGACGGTAAGATGAGAGACTGGGAGGTGAGGGGTGGGGAGGGAAGGGATGGGGAGGTGAGGGATGGGGAGGTGAGGGATGGGGAGGTGAGGGATGGGGAGGGAAGGGATGGAGAGGGAAGGGATGGGGAGATGCGGGATGGGGGGATGAGGGATGGGGAGAAGAGGGATGGGGAGAAGAGGGATGGGGAGAAGAGGGACGGTAAGTTGAGAGACTGGGAGGTGAGGGATGGGGAGGGAAGGGATGGAGAGGGAAGGGATGGAGAGGCGGGGATGGGGAGGTGAGGGATGGGGAGGGACGGGATGGGGAGATGAGGGATGGGGAGGGAAGGGATGGGGAGATGAGGGATGGGGAGGGAAGGGATGGGGAGATGAGGGATGGGGAGGGAAGGGATGGGGATGGAGCATAGGCGACGGAGGGGAATGAGAGAAGGCGAGGGGCAGGGGGTGAGCCTGGGCGACGGAGGGAAGTGAGCGTGTGCGGAGTACGGGCAGTGAGCGTGGGCGATGGATGGGGGGAGAGCGTGCGTGGTGGGGAGGAGTGAGCGTGGGCGACGGAGGGGACTGTCGCGACAGGAGGGAAGTGAGAGAACGTGGCGGGAGGGAGAGAGCGTGGGCGGCGGAAGGGGAGTTGTCGCGCGCAACGGGAGGGAGTGCGCGCGGACGGAGCTGGGGTGAGGAGGAGACGAGGTGAGGCGGAGATGCGGGAAGGAATAGGCCGTGGCGACGAGCGGGGGTGAGTGTGTGCGACCGAAGGATTGCGCGAAGGCGATGGAATGGGGGTGAGCGTGGGCGACGGAAGTGAATGATCGTGGGCGACGGTACGATTTCCCCCCGCGATCGCGATGGGAAGGGAGTGAGCGTGGGCGACGGGAAGGGCTTGAGCGTGGGCGACGGAAGGGAGTGCGCGCCGGCGACGATAGGGAGTGTGCGTGACCGTTCAAGGGGAGTGCCTGTGTGCGACGGGAAGGCGTTATCATCCGCGACGGAGGGATGTTCGCGTGCGCAACAGAGGGTTTTGCGTGAAGGAGATGGGAGGGAAGGGAGCGTGCTCGTTCGAGGGAAGAAGCGTGAGGGATGGAGGGGATCGCGTGTGTGTTCCGGAAGGTCCGAGTGTAGACGTCGGGGAGAAGAAGCGATGCGGCGAAGCAGGTGGATGAAACCTACGCGGCGGATAGAGAGGACGTCGCGGCTATGAAGATAGGCGACATTGGTGCGGTGGGCGGTGTGGAAGCAGGGTCCTCGCTAGGATTTGAACCCCCCTGATGCGTCAGATATTTCGCCTTTGCGTGTCTGATGCATCAGAAATTTCAAAAGAACTTGTCTGACCAATTAAAATAGAGTTTCTAGCGTGTAGATGCAGGTGGGATAACAAGGTGAGTCTGACTTTTCTGGACCATTCACATTCATTCGCAGTACAAACTGGTGTGATTCGCACTTCACTGGTCTCAGCAGAATCACCCTAACACGGCAGATTCGCCCTGTCAGAGCACAAAATATTCGCCCAATCAGAGAACATTTGCTCTGACACGGCAGATTCGCGACGTCAGAGCGCAACGTGTTCATCCAATCATAGAAAACTCGTCCTGACACAAGAGATTCGACCTTACACAACACAGCAGATTCGCTTTGACAACAGATTTGCCCTGTCAGAGCATGTTCTGCGGGAAATCCCGGCACTCTAACATGTTTAGATTTCAGACGAAACATATATTACATTTCTGATGAATCAGATGAAGACAAAAAATCATTTCAACTCAATCAGATGAAAAAATAAATCATTCCTTGAAAATCAGATCAACTGGAAAAAAAATCGTCTGGAAACTAAGACAAACAGACAAAAATGTCTGATGTCGAGGACCCTGTGTGGAAGTGAAACCAGGGCGACGACGGGCATATGTGCAGCCATGGCCCAGGCTAGCTATGTCGAGTGGAAACGCGACCTAGAACCGCCGGGCGCTTTAGAGACGGATTGGCAGAATGAAGGCAGGTCCTAACGTCCTGAGGAGGAATTTTCCGCCATGCGCTGGAATGGGGTAGAATGCTAGATGTTCTATGCTATGGCTGTCGCTCTAGCTGCTCAGACTAGGCAGTTTCGAACGACCTGAATTACATATTTCCAGTTCGGTGTGCACACCTTAGCCCAGGAACCGAGCGACCCTTCCCTATGCTGCCTGCGACTTCTTTCACGTTTTGCAGGTGAAAACCTGGTAACCACACTGGTTCGGGAGGGAAAGTGTTAACACCTCCCAACTTTTCTTGTAATTCAGGCTGCGGGTTTTAATCGTCCGTTGCTCCCTCAAATTGAGACGAAGGTAGGATACTTGCATTCTCTTAGGACGTGTCTCACTTCCGACGAGTCTGCGAGCCGGTCCGCTCTTGGAAATGTTGCACCCCAAAACCGTGGACTGGTCCGCAGGACCAGGTTGAGACCGTACTGGCAAACCAGCTTCGGACTGGTCCGCTACAGTGGCGTGAAGGTGAGAACACTGCGTGTTTTTCCCAACACTAGGTTACTACCGTATGACTCGTAAGGGCTTCATGTCATTGGGCAAACCGCCATTGCGCGCTGTCAAGGTTTGCGACACTTGTGGGGTGAGTTCGCAACTATTTGTGAAAAGACGACTGTTCAGGAGTCCGACGTGGACCAGCTCGCCTAACCAGTCAAGACTCCCCAGTACAGTCCTTTTCCGTCGTTAAAACACGCGAGTTCACGCTCCGGTCCACGCTCGGGTCCGTGGTGGTTTGGTGGACTGGTCCACGTCGACCGCCTAGATCCAGCGTAGACGTAAGATTTTGAGACACCCTCTTACCGTACATATACGGTACGATCGAATATCAGTTGAATTCGCTTATCAAGCTTAACCAAACTCCAAATAGCAATGCCAGTTGCATACTACAAACGCCTATTATTTTCAAGCACAAGAGCGCATTCACACGTGCGCCCATGACCTCTCAACAGAAGTCTCACACGTGGACATTCTCACAATACTACACACTAGTCTAGTGGATAGGGTGGGGTACGTATGGTGGAAACTTGTGGTGGCAAAAGCATGCCCACCACCAATATTGGCATACTGGGCGTGTGTCATAGGACCAACTCAGCCGTAGATGCTCCTTACCCGCAATCACCTCGCGCTGCTAACCATATCCTTCTGCACCACCATCACCTCCTCCTCCCCCTCGCCCTCCACGTCCCCGGGCAAGCCATCAGCAGCAGGCGACAGCGGACCCTCCAGGACCGTCCATCTGAGCGCCGAGGCACGGTCAGTCACACGAGCAAGCAGCGCAGGGGCGTCACGCAGCAGCAGGAACCCTCCCGGGCGCATGATTCGATCCATCTCCAGGAGCAGATCGTCCGTGGAGCAGCGGCGCGCAGTGACCAGCGACAGCAACTTGTGCGCGTGCAGCAAGTCATACGTGCGGGGATAAGTGGAAAACTCCTCACACCAGTCATGGTACACGCCCAGAAGCCCCCGGTCGTAGATAACCTCGAGTGCGTGCTGGTCTGTGGGAGGGATGGCTGTCATTACCCAGACCGGCTTGGAGGCGGTGAGTGCGGCTGCGAAGGCACCCAGCCCTGCATTCATGTCGAGCACGTTGCGGATGGAGTCTGGCTGGACTCGGTCCGCTAGGAGCGCCCAGTATGCGTCCACCCGCTCTGCCCACACCTTCTGCTCAAGGGAAGGTGGGGGAAGGTGGGGGGAGGTGGGGGAAGGTGGGGGATGGGAGAGGGAGTGAGTGGGTGGGGATTTGTTGGGGCGGGATATGTTGGGGGGAGATGGGATGGAGGTGTGACGGTGGAAAGGGAGTGGGATGTGGCAGTGCAAGGGTGAACGGATGACAGAAGGGGGGCTGCCAGTTCTGTAGAGTTCTCAATTCAAAACTCAAACAGAGTGTGCTCACGCGCACGTCACTCACACGCCCGAGGCACTCACTCCTACACGCCCAAGCGACTCACGTTCATCTTCTTGTACGCGTTGGTGCCCACGTCAGTGAGTGCCACTCTAGGAGGCGGCGCCTTAAGCCGCCGCGGCCACGGCGCCACGCTCACTGCGTCATCTGCTACAAGAACGAATGCGAGGGACGACACGTGACGAGGACCCGGGAAGGAAGGGGCAGGAGGAGCGGGAGAGGTGAGTAGGCGGAGGGTCGAGCCCCGTGGGAAAGGGGGTGTGACGAACGAAAGCTTGGATAAAGTGCGGGAAAGGGAGAACCACCACCAGCAGCAGCAGGCGCAGCAGCACCGGGACTGCTCCGCAGAGGCGCAGCGAGCGCACCTGTGGCAGGAGCGGCGATGCAGGTGGAGAGCGAGACGTTGTACGTGCTGCTCGCCTCGTTGCGCCCGCGCTCGTCGCACAGCGCGGGGACCGTGCCCTCGGGGCGCTCCGCGTAGCAGGTGCCGCTCTTGGGCTTGCGGAATATCGCCGTCTGCGCCTCGCGCACCTCCAGGGTCCAGCACAGCTTGCTGATTGGGCGGGGAAATCGGGGTTCCAGGCAATGAGAGAGACATGGTTGATGAGACAGGATTGAGGAAATATAGGCGAGAATGAGAGAAGGGAAGCAGAGGCGAGGGAGGGAGGTGATGAGTGTGACGAGAGGTAGGTACGAAACGCATGCACCCATCCTGACGTATCCACCACTCATCCCGTACAATCCCATTCTGTGGCATCTCATCCCATCCCATCTCACCGCCTCCCATCCCGCTACTCACATGGTCACGTCCGTCACTTGCTTCCACAGTGTGCGGCTCTCCTCGTCGTCGCGGTACGCAGGGGGCGCGGACCACACCCAGTACCCGCCGGGCCGCAACAGACGGTCCAGCTCCAGCAGCAGCACGCCGTCTGACATGACGAAAGAATGGAGGGAAAATTAGGGATATTGAGATCGAGAGGGAGAGAGAAAGTGGGAGAGGGGAGAGAGTGCGGAAGGTGCCTTTTGACAGGCGGGATGAGGGTGGTAAGTAAGTGCTTCACAGCGAACACTGCACGCACCTCTCTGGCCCCAGTCGATGCGGCAGCGCGAGCAGTGCGCGAGATCGAACCCGCGCGACGGGAACGGCAACCGCTTGGTCCCCAGCACGCCGAGCCAAGCGGGCACGCCGCGCTCGAGCGCAAACTGGATCTGATTCTCATGTCGGTCGTTGGGCGCCACCGACATGGCGATCATGCCTTGGTCCAGCAGGAACGCGCCAAACGACGCCACCCCGCACCCGATATCCAAAACTGTACGGATCTTGCCGCCCAGCGACAGATCGCCGTCCTCGTTCTTGAGCATCTATTGGGCGGCAAGCGGTGGGGCATGAAAACCAGCAGGGGATCGTTAAAAGGCAAATAGAGCCGGAGAAGGATCAGGTCGGGGACCAAGAACAGAGAACGAGGGTACGAGGACGAGTGGACGCATGATCTGGGCGGAATAGACCAAAACGAGGTACTTTGTGCGGTGAAAAAAAACAAGGAGCTGCGTCTGAATGCTTCTGACGGAGCCGCGGTGCGACGAGAGACGCACCCTGCCGACGGACTGGATGTACTTGTCGGCACCGTCGTGGAAGTGCGTGCCACCGCCCGGGAAGCGGATCTTGTCACCGTCCACGACCATCCAGTGCTGATCCGACTTCTCGGTAGCGAGGAACGGGTGCGGCACGTTTGACTTCCACACCACATCGCGGCTCTCGGGCCACCGGATAGGCGTCTGGAGGCACAGAGATGAAAGCAAAGAATGAGAGGAATGGCGAGAGATACAGCGAGATGGTGAGGGCGAGAGCCATGACAAGAAATGGAGATGACCGAATAGGGTGAAGGTGAAGCAAGGCAAGCCGACCCGAGTCAAGCTAGATTCCAGAGGCAATCGCCGTTCGAGATGACTGACGCCCCTCTCGCCGCCTCTACTGCCCGTCGCGGCCGTACCTTGTAGTCGGAGGGCGGCGGCACAAGGCAGCGCACGCGGAGGTTGGAGGGGGGGCAGTGGCGCTCGTAGTGCTCCATGAGGCTTGTACTGAGGTGCAGCTTCATCTTCTTGTGGATGTTGTGGTCCAGGCACGGAATCACCTCCGACAGCTCCGGGTCGCACACCTGCCGAGCGTGCACACACCAATAAATTAGATACTGGCTATCAAGGATCGCTAGTCACAGGTGAGATACAAGTGGAGATTCTGGTTGCAATTTCGTCGCAACGGGCTGGATACCACTGCCTGAGCGATCAATTGGGGCAGGTATCGCGGAAGACGAGATCTGGACTAGTTTGAGAGGACATGGACTCGAGACATGGCGCGGCGTACTCACCGGAAACGCGTCGATTTGCTGATCGTCCGTGGACTCGTCTTCATCGCTGGAATGTTTCTTAGACTTCTTGACCTTTTTGGTCTTCTTTTCCTTTTTTGCCTTCTTTGACTTCGATTTCTTGCTCGTCTTCTCCTCCTCTTGAGTCTCAATCTCATCAACTTTCTCCTCTTGCGGCTCGCTCTCCTCGTCATTAGTCTCGCTGCAGCACAGACATCATAAATCAGTTAGAGAATGGCCATGAATCTCGGAACAGCGGATTTGGCGATTATGATGCCAACCAGCCGTCTGCGTCACACAGCAAGACCATAATTTGCAATAATCCCGCGCACGTCCGAGGGCGGCCCACGAACCTGTTAGTCTGCTCAGCTTCATCCTCTCTCGGAGGGTTGCTGGTTTCATCCTTGCCGCCATCTTCAGTGCCCTCTGTGGAATCCGAGTCGCTTTCGGCGCTGGATTCCTCTTCACTCTTCTTCTCAGCGGAATTGGACTCATCGGCTGCTTCACTCGCCTCCTCCTCCATCTGCTTCTCCTGCTTACTCTCCTGCTCTTGCGTCACGACGTCCGTCGTCGCATCGCGCTCAACGGTTAGCTCCAAATCCAGCGTTTCCTTCTCAACCGCGGATGCTTTGCTCTGTTTCTCTAGCGAAGAATTTTCCTCCGCGTCGGAATCTGAGGAGTGATCCTCGGCGTGGCTACGAGATGACACGCGTACCGGCGTCAACCGCGGCAGCACCGGCTCGTCGTCAACCGTGGATTCCGTTACCTCTGTAGATTCAGAGCCAAATGCACCCACCTTGCGATTCTGCACAGACAAATGCGAACTGCGTTTGTAAGATTCTTGCCCGACACAGGGAGTTCATTCAGATATGGAGGTAATCTGCACCCCACGAACCTGGGACGAGGTTTGCAAGTCAGCGGTGGGAGCGATGCTTTTGGAGAAGGACCCGACAGAAAACATATATGCCAAGAAAAGAGCCGCCAGCGTTATCACGACAACGGCACCGGTCTGCATAGCACGGCGCCCGTAATTTACGGACTCTTGACGCCGCATCTTGGGCGAGAGGAGCGGTTGGCCCTGCATGTCTGTGTCCCTTGTTCAGAAACAATTGTGCTAGTTTGGTAAGATCTACGTCAATGCTCAATCCCCTCTAGGTGAACTCAAAGGAGGAGTGGATCCGTACTAACAACTACAGTGAGCTGCGGGTCCTAACGATCATCCATCGATTGCCTTCACTGGTTGCCTGCTGAAGTATGGGAAGCAAGTGCCTGAGCTACATGAAGCGAATGTGGGTGAGTTTTTAGCTAACTTCAAGGAGGGTCCGCCAAGGGAATTGCGCGGCGAAGGGGTAAAATGGCCCGAGTGAGCCTAGTGAACCGACGCGGCAACGACAGGGATTCAGCTCCTCGGACAGATCACATCACATCACACTTGGGCCCAGCTGCACGAGCACAGGGGATGGACACACCCGCCCAGCCAAGTCGCTGTCCCCTTCCCTTGATCTCTGCGAAAAACGCACGCCGCTGGCATCCAGTCACAAGAGTTCCACGCTTCGAGGCTGGTCCAATCAGGTTCAAGGCGATTCGTTCAATGTTCCTCTGAACGCTTGACGAATTCTTGACAACAGTCGCGGTGAATGTTGATGATGATTCTCCTCCTGACCATACAGTACCACAACATCATACTGCTCGGATTTCCTGGCTTAGTTTTCCAGACTACGAGTCCAGTGAGAAAGTTTAAAAATTACAATGGAGGTGTAGCGGGCAGTCGATACACAAACGAAATCTGATTGTTCAGCCTCTCCGAGGTCTTCTCGCCGTTGGGAGGAGCCTTCCCGCCATACAATTTCCAGGTTCGCGGTGCGGAGCGCAGTCAGGCGGGCATTTCAACATGCTGCAGTCATATTGGGTTTGTTTGGTTTGCACAAAGCAGCGGTATGGGCACATTTGTTCCACATTTGTATTAAGACATACTCCATTATATCTAATTACACAATAAGAGATTTAAAATTAGCCTTTCAGATGGACATATAAGTAATATATTGAAATTCATCTCTTCAACTGCTGTCTAGGAGCCCGACTACATCGCGTACAGCAACAGCCGTTGTTCGCCCGTTACTGCTAACGGGGCTTCGCCGACTTCGCGCGCACTGTTTCACCAAACCTCGCACTGCTGGCCTGGCCGTGTCGGCCTACGCTTCGGGACTAGCCCGAGCCTCGCTCCAGCGTAGCACTAGCTAGCTCGCACGCACCGTGTTGCCGTTTGCATGTTTCGCGTATAAATGTTCGCTCATGCCTTCGCTCATATTTTGTACTCGTTTGACACTTGGTGCAATCCTCGCTACCTCGATTCATTGCACCCGTAACACTTGGTATTCAGAGCCACCTTCTTTCAGACCGAGCATCTCCGCACCCAAGGAAATAAACTTTTGATTTCTTCATTCGAACAGACTCACGCAACTTAGCCCATAGGAGCCGCTGTCCTCGCATTCTCTCGAAAACGCGTGCAACCACGACTGCGCCTAGACTAAGACGAGCCAACGCCCTTTTGTAATGGCCTAGCATATCGACGTCACGACACTCACGCAGGACCCCCTGAACGAACTGCTACACCTGCTACACGAGATTTCATAAGAAATTGTGGCGCTGACGGCGGAACGCACCTCCATGCAGAATGACGTCGCACGAGCACAACAAGTACAGTCAGAAGCACCTGGCACTCCGGTACAGCCCGCACCACAGACATCACAACACGGAAGCGTCGGGCAACCTGCGAGCGCGACTAGCGATGGCGTCGCCCGCCACGACGGAGACGACGACCATGGCGCGACACACCCCGAGGCAACGAATGCGGCCCAAAGCCAATCGCGCGGCACAATTTCGACGCCGATCAACGATTTCGGCACTTCTGTCACCCATGCCGCTGAAGCCGTAGCGTCGGCCATGTTTCGACCAGAGTCATCGGAGTGGTCCTACCATTCAGGCGTGGTTGTTCACGATGGACGTATTTTTCGACGCTAACCACGTCTCGGAGGATACGGGGAAGATTCGCTACGCCGTCTCGCTGCTGCGAGGACCCGCCATGGACTGGTGGGGCGTCATCTGTCAGAATCTCTACCACTAGACCATTAGGATAAAAGGGCTTGTTTAAGTAGCGGGTTAGTGCGCCCATAACCCCCTAGGCCAACATGCCTGTAACCCTTCCCTAGGATCAATCGGGGATCACCAGTGGACCTCTGACATCATCGTCATGAAGCCGAATGACTACGCGACTCTACCGACACAGGAAGGACAAAACGGACCGTGGGCGCTGTCGTATTTCGTTGAGGTGCCCCAATATTGCACGTAGGACGCATGATGCGCAGGACAGCGCGCTCGATTTGAGCCAATTGCGGCTTCGATCGCGGCGCGTCAGAAGCTCCGCACTTGGCGCCAACTCGGTTCCGTCCAAGATTACACCAGCGGGTTTCTGGCGCTATGCGAGCAAGTAGGTTATATACACGAGGGCGAGCGTATCGACCGCTACATCGGCGGCCTGAAGCATGATATCGCACAGGATATATCGTTTCGCGGCGTCACGATTTTCAGGAGATTCTCGCCATGGCGGAGAAGCTTGACTTTTTCCGCCGACCGAGACCGAGGTCCTACGGAAGCAATAACTGGGGACATCGGTCTCGTGGGACGAACGAGGGCACTACGATATGTGCCGTCACCGCGAATGCTGCTGCCGCACCGTTCAAAGGGCGCCACTTTGCGTGCAATCGGCCGGGACACCGTAAGAGTGAATGCCCGAGAAACGCAAAGGGAAAGGGGGAAGCACAGCACCATAAACAAACCAAGCAGCAAGGAAACGCTGGGAGTCAATAGCACACGAGCCCTCTACTGGCAGGTCACGCCGCTCGCCTGACCCAACCAACCCTCACCGAGTGATTGTGCCGGTTCACGCAATCGACAACACCCGGCCGAATAAGGAGGGTACAACGGTAGATAGACCCACACTGCATAGTGGGAAAATCGGGACGGACTTAGTTAAAATCTTCGTAGACGGTGGAGCCAGCCACACATCCTGATCAATACCGCCACAGCACAAAAACTGAGACTGCCACTGGACAGATGTTTACTTGAGATCGACGCAAGACTCGCTGACGGCACGCCACTGGCGATATGGGAACGTATAGACCAGGTTCTGATTCGATGCGGGGGTAACTTCAAGTTTAGCCAAGAAATGCTCACGACAACCCTCGACGGAACCGACATTTTACTCGGTCATGATTTTGTCAGAATGCTATATAGCTTATACATTTGTGTAGGCTATAGTGGGGTATCCCATAGGGGGTACAACCCAATTAGGGTTAGTACTTGTACTCACTCATTTCATAGTTGATTCATTCTCGTTTCAATTCTCACATGGTATCGAGCAGGTTCCCTCGTGGGAACTGTTCCTAAGGCCCTACTACTGCTTCCGCTGCTAGTCGATCTGTCGCACGCCCCGCGGCGTGCGACCTAGCGGCGATTTTCTTTCTGGCGCGCGCCCCGAGGCGCGCGACCCCGCCTCTTTCGTCGCGGCCCCGCCCCTTGTCGTGACCCCGCCTCTTTCGTCGCGGCCCCGCCCCTTATCGCGGCCCCGCCCTACGTCGCGGCCCCGCCCTACGTCGCGGCCCCGCCCTACGTCGCGGCCCCGCCCTACGTCGTGGCCCCGCCCCGAGGCGCGCGACCCCGCCTCTTTCGTCGCGGCCCCGCCCCTTGTCGCGACCCCGCCTCTTTCGTCGCGGCCCCGCCCCTTCTCGCGGCCCCGCCCTACGTCGCGGCCCCGCCCTACGTCGCGGCCCAACCCTGAGGCGCGCGACCCTGCCTCTTTCGTCGCGGCCCCGCAGCTTGTCGCGGCACCGCCCTACGTCGCGGACCCGCCCTACGTCGCGACCCCGCCCTACGTCGCGGCCCCGCCCCGAGGCGCGCGACCCCGCCTCTTTCGTCCCGGCCCCGCCACTCTCGTCGCGGCACTGCCCTTCGTCGCGACCCCTGCCGCCCTTCGTCGCGACCCCTGCCGCCCTTCGTCGCGGCCCCTGCCGCCCTTCGTCGCGGCCCCTGCCGCCATTCTACACCGCGGCCCCGCCACCTCCCTTGCGGCCCCGCAGCCCTACACCGACCCGGCCCCGCCTCTGCTGGCCCCGTCGCCTGCCCCTGCGCCCCTACGACCCTGCTCCACCTCTGCCGGCCGCGGCGCCGCCTCCGCTGGCCCCGTCGCCGATCCACCCCACCCCGCCGTCGTCCCCAGGCGGCCCCGCCTTCACCACCAAGCCGCTGGCGCCGCCGACCTAGTGCCAAGTCACCTGAGCCGCCCGAGCCGCTCGAGCCGCAGCGCCACCTCAGCCGCCCGAGCCGCCGTGTCGCCGAGCCGCCGAGCTGCAGCTGCTGCCGAGCAGCCGTACCGCCGAGCCGCCAAGCCGCCGAGCCGCCCGAGTCGCCCGAGCAGCCGAGCCGCCCAAGTCGCCCGAGCCGCCGAGCCGCAGTTGCTCCAGTGCCGCCGTGCCGCCAAGTCGTCGAGCCTCCTCTTCCCACCACTGGTGAGCCCCTGCCTTACTAGCGCGCTGCCTACTGCTTGCTTGGCTGCCTGCCTTACTGCTGCTACTCCTACTCCTGCTTCTACTGGCGGCGGCCAGATGCAGCTCCAACGACGCCCACACGTGTCTCTCACGCCCTGGCAGCTCCGTGAGTGGTACGCTCAGAGTGGAGGGTCTCTCAGTTCTGTTCGCTGCTCTTACGTGATTCGCGGTGCTCGGACTGGTCAGCCTTGTGGGACGCCTAGTCACACACCGTCCCGCTGCTTTGCCGGTCTGAGCGACGCCTGGCGTACCGCGTTTGGCGACGAGGCTGAGCTCCTCGACTGGGTGGAGTTGCTTAGGCAGAGGGTGGATATATTTGCTCTTGACTATTATGATATTCTCACTGCCATGTATGCATTGCCTACTAGTGCTGACCGTGCCGGTCACCTGTGCGTACCGCCTGACCCGGGTA